TTTGTACCAGGGATCAAACTCATCCAGCACCATCTTTTAAAGAGACTATTTTTTCTGCAAAGTATATTTTTGGACCATCTGTCAAAAATCAGATAGGTAAAGGTGCATGGGTTGTTTCTGTGTCTTCTGTTCTATTGCTCTATGCCTATTTTTGTGCCAATATCATACTTTGTTAATATAGCTTTGTAGGGTAACTTGAAATCTGATATTGTAACACATTATTTTCATAGGGATTTTTATCATGAAGGGATGTTGAGTTTTGTCAGAGGATCTGTTGAGAGGATCATGTGATTTTCATCCTTGATTTTTCTGTTTGGTATATTACATTTTTTACTTGTGTATATTGAACCGTCTTTGCATACCTCAGATGAAGCCAACTTGTTAAATGATTTTTTAAATGACTTGTTGAATTCTGTTTGTGAATATCTTAATAGATTTTGTTGTATCTATGCTCCTTCAGACTAATTGACCTGTAATTTTGTTGTTGTTGTTGTTGAAGCGTTATCCAGTTCATATCAGAGTAATATTGACTTCATGAAGTATGTTGGAATTATTCCTTCCCTTTCAATTACATGGAAAAGTTTGAGGAGTATTAGTGCTAGTTCTTTAAACTTAGGGTAAAATTCATTGATGACTCCATGGGATTCTGGACTTTTCTTGGTTGGACAGTTGTTACTGCATAATTTTCATTGCTTGTTATTGATCTGTTCAGAGTTTTTATGTCTTGTTTTAATTTGGTAAGTCACATGGGTCTCAATTCATCCATTACTTCCAGATTCTCTGATTTATTGGTGTATGATTTCAAAATAGGATCTAATAATCCTCTGGATATCTGGGGTGTCTATTATAATTCTGCTTTTTTCATTTTGAATTATATTAATGTGAATCTTTTCTCTTTGTGTAAGTTTTACTGAGGGTTTATCAATCATATTTATTGTTTCAGTGAACCAGCTCTTTGACTTATTGATCCTTTGTTCTGTGTTTTTACTCTGTTTCATTAATTAACACTCTGATGTTTATAAATCTTTTCCTTCTTCTAGTTTTGGGTTTGAATTATTCTTGTTTTTCTTGGACCTTGAGATAAATCATTAGATTTATTCATGCCTGTTGTGTTTCTAATGTAGGACCTCATAGTTATAAATCTCCCTCTTAGAACTACTCTTATTATATCCACAGAGTCTGATGTGGTTTTCCATTATCATTTGACTCTAGCAATTTTTTTTTTGGGGGGGGGGCTTTTTGAGAAAGGGTATCACTATGTAGTTGAGACTGATCTGGAACTCACTGTGTAGCCCAGGCTGGTCTCGAACTCAGCGATCCTCCTGCCTCAGCCTCCCGAGTGCTGGGATTACAGGCGTGTGTCACCACGCCCGGCTGACTCTAGCAATTTTTAAATTTCTTCACTGATTTTTTTTTTCCTACCTGTTACTCAAGAGTGAATTATTCAGTCTCCATATATTGCAGTAGTTTCTGTGGTTTCTTTTGCTGTTGATTTCTAGTTTCACTCCTTTGTTCTGCTGGTCTGCAAGAGATTTCAGTTGTTTTGTGTTTGTGGGGACATTCTTTATAATCTAAAATATAGTCTCTTTTGGAGAAAGTTCCATGGACTGCTGAAATAACTGTGTATTCTGATGTTATTGGATGAGACATTCCATGGAAATCTGTTAAATCCATTTGTTCTATGGTGTACTGTAACTCTGATATTTCTTTTTTTGCTTGTTTGTTTTTGCTTTTTGGGTGGGATTTTGATGGGGATGACCAGTTTATTCATGAGAGTGGAATCTAGAAATCCCTCACTGTGATTGTATTGGTGCTTATCTGTCCTTTTATGTCAAGTAGTTTTTGTTCTATGAAATTGAGTACACCAATGTTCAGTGCATATATATTTAAAATTGTTGTCTTTATAGTGACCTTTGTCTCTTCTGACAAATCAATTCTGATTTAAAGTCAACTTTGTCAGAAATTAGAATAGGTACTCCTGATTGCTTTTAGGCCCGGGCTGCTTGGAACATCATTTTCCATCCTTTTATTTTCTCTTTGTGTATCTTTGGGATCAGTTTTTGGAAACTTATGATTATTTAATAGCATTTTATTACCTTGTTTTCTCATGATTCTTGTGTTTTTGTATTTAAAGTTGTAGATCAGTTGGAAAGTAAAGCTGTATACCACTATTGTGGAAACCTCCCCATGAGGTATCCTCAATATAAATCGGTATTCAGGCTCCTATTCAACTCATTCAAAGTACTAAGATCAGTCCCTAGCATTTTATTGCAAGGAAATAAGCACTCTAGTATTATAAACATCCAAAGAACCAACCAGATATCAACATATAATTTAAGTCATTTTTAAAGTTCTCAACTCTTTCAGTAACCCTGGAAGACTAAGGAATAGTAATGATGAAAAATAGGCTGGAAAATAGAAAAAAATTAATAAAAAATAAGGAAGAAAAAGACAAAAAAGATCAAAATAAAATAATAGGTTTTTTTGTTTTTCTTTTTGTTTTTTGGTACCGGGGATCGAACTTGGGCCCTTGTGCTTGCAGGTCAGGCAGCAGAACCACTGAGCCAAATCCCCAGCCCTAAAATAATAGGTTTTGATATTATTTTTATACCTGGAAAGAATGTGGAGAGGGATAGGAGGTTAAAAAGTTATTTGTGGGACAGCAAAAAGAAGGAAAGGGAAAGAAATACAAGAGAAACTTTACAGATGTTGGATCCATTTAATAAACAGCAGAAACCTAATACTACAAGACGCAAAAAACAAACCTTGGTGAGGGAGAACCTGTGATGGGTCAATTTAAGACACTATATAAACAAAAACTGGTTAACACTCATACACAGTTGTATATACAAATATGCCCTTCATAGACACTATAAAATAGAAAAAATAAGTTTTAACAGTAGTTTTTATTCACAAAAATAAAAACATGAAAGGATGGGAGACTTGAGAGGAAAATAAGAAAGAAGAGGAGGGTGAAGGAATTTTAATTGAAAGTTAGAACAGAGGGTGATTGAGTCCCATTAGTGATCTAACAAATACTAATACAGCAAACTGTGAAGCAGCCTTTGGTTCGAGAAAACCGAATGTGACACTATAAGATATTATAGAAGTAAAAGCAGTAACTAGCGCTTGTATGTTCTTACCAGAACACAAACACCCTGCTCCGAGCTCTTAAAAAAAAAAAACTAATAAAAATAAAAATCAGTCCTATCTTCCTCCTTGTGATGGTATATACATACATACATATACATACATACACATACATACACACACACATACATACATACATACATACTGAAGTTTAAATTAGAGCAGATTACTCCTCAATTCAAACAGGGAACACCTCATAGAGCTTCCAGGGACCTGAGTGCCACTCCTTTCTGATTGTGGCTGAAAACTTGGTTAGGTTGGCCAATGGTTGAGTTAATTCCCAACAGTTGACTTAAACTTTCCCATAGATGGCAGCAAGAGGGCTGAAAACACTAATGGTGGCGAATGTATGACACATATGCCACATCAGACTTTTTATTATTGCCAGCTCTAAAAGGTTTGCCATCACTGGTCTAGACCATCTTCCAAATCAGCTGCTTTTGTTATCAGCAAGCAAGTCCAGAGAGTAGAATAAAGCTTTAGCAAAATTGTCTGCTCTTCTGGAAGTGTAGATGGGCCATGACTAAGCATCTCACCCCCAGGGACCTCCAAATGGACTGGGAGGGAGTAGGCACATAAGGACTGTGTTACAGCCTTCAACTGGCCTGCAGAAGTTTCCCCAGACTGAGACCTGTTCCCACAGACTTCTGCAAGAATACTTCTCCTGCTCTCATGACTCACACTGCTACCTGTCACATGGTATAAGGTCTTGGAGTATGAAAAATATAGCAGTTTTCTCACCTGAGCAAAGGGAGTTCAAGAGGGCTTCCCAATCTGATTCTGCCCAAATTTATGGCTCTTGAATGAATATCGTGGAGCAGTTAGTGAATATACATCTTTAGTCTGCCATCTTTTTTTTTTTCCCTCTAGAAAAGTTTTTCAGTTACACAAAGTATCAACTCTTATTGGATGAGAAATTTAAACATAAATCAGTGTTCCCAATTTGGGATAAGCACAATCCTTAAACAGGATACTAATTAAAACAGAAAAGATTATGCCATGTCCTTGGCTTATCTGACATTTATTCATTGTATCAGCAATATTTATTGAATGCCTCCTATCAGGTACTAAGCTGCAATTTTACAAATATAATGGCTAATTGTTATTCTTTTTGCGGGGAGGGGGAGGCTACCAGAGATCCAAATTCAGGACCTTTTGCCTGCAAGGCATGTGGCAGCATAATCTTTATTGTTCTTATTCCCACTTTAACATGAAAGTACAAAGAATTAACTTGCTTCATGTCAATAACCACGTAGTGTAGCAAGGATTGAACTTGGCCCAACTCCAGAATCTATTTACTTTTATTTATTGAGCTTTCTGTTAACATGATTTTTAAAATTTGTGATAAGTGCTGTAGATGTTGTAATTATGTGTCTCCAGGGCACTGAAGGGTGAACTGTAGATATGGAAGAGGAATAGTTAGTTCTACCTGTGGGGGGAGGAGGAGAGAGAATTAGATTTTTAAAAGGCTTCATAGAGAAGATACTTGAACCAAAATTTGTCAGTGAGTTTTCCAGGCAGAAGAAGCAAGTAAGCTATAGGAGGGAAGTACAAACAGGAAAAGACAGCATAGACTTAATCTTTGAAGGGGAATAGATAGATAAGATTGGATAGTCATTGGTCAGAAATGGAGAGTTGTTTTATGCAAGGCCAAGAATCTTGTGTTTTGTCCTGTAGGCAATAGAAAACCCTTGAGAAGGGTAATAACATCAGAGTAATATTTGAAAAAGATAACTCCTGCAGCACTGGGTATTGTTTTTGAGAAAGCAGGTTGGAGGTATGAGACGGGGTGTGAACTAGGACTAATAATGGTAGCAATGAGGAATCATGGGTGGATGTGAGAAATTATAAGGAATCATAACTGATAGGATTTGATTGCCAATTAGAAGTAAGGTTGGAAATAGGAGCACTAGTTTTCTGAGTAAGTGGATGGTAAGGCTGCAAATCTGAACAACCGACAAAATAGCTGACGTTTGCCAGAGATGAAAAAGTATTTCTGGATTTGGAAGTGATCCGAGTGAAGATACTAATTGGTTAGGTGGAGAAGCACATGAACCTACAATATCTGGGCCAAAGACAGGTTTAGAAGTCATCAGCAGATAGATAAGAGTTGAGCCCATTGAAATAGATAAGCTTTGCTTCAACCAAGTATTTCAAAGTGAGAAGATATTGGAAAACAGATCTGAGACATGTCATGACATCTGCTTTGCCATCCATCAGTGATTCATTCTTTCATTCTTTTCTCTTTCCTATTACAACTTCAGTGTTGTAATGCTACCTGAGATTATCTGGAGATATCGTTAGTATTTCTGTTTACTTCCATCTAGATTTGAAATTTAATTAAAACAACTACTAGTCATCTGTTGATGTCCCTTTTTCTTTTAAAACGAATATGAAAATCCTAAAGAGACTGTCACTTAAAATTAATTGCTTTCTTGGCCAGGCTCTTAGCTTCTTATAGGTAGATCTTGTTCATCTTATCATTTTCCCTTAAAAACAAAGTGGATGTTAAACACAACATTGAAAAAATAACTTTATATATGATCTCTTTAAAGGATGTACAGAAGAAGTCCTTTGAAGAGAAATATGAAACTTTCATGGATATTTGCCAAAATTTTCAACCAGTTTTCCGTTACTTCTGCATGGAAAAATTTCTGGACCCTGCTGTTTGGTTTGAGAAACGATTGGCTTATACTCGCAGTGTGGCCACTTCTTCTATTGGTAAGCTTGTGCATCTTACTAGATCCAATGCTTTGCAGCATTTTGAATGCAGGATAATAATAGTGGTAATGATAGTTATTAACCAAACTATCTTCATCATTCGATTATTGGGTTACTTATGCTTCCTGATTCTTAGCTTCTAATCACAGCATTTTCAGAAGAGAATTCTCCGGGGTAGGAAGACTATTTTGTCTTCATTGTATAGTGAATATGACATGTTTTCTCTTTTGTTTATATATTATTGAAATTTTCTTTGGGAGATAAAATCTTTGATAAATCCATTTGATATACTTTATTATTGTTCTTTTGCTCAAAATCTCTACCACACCATGATGTTATCACCCAGTGATTGTTAATACAGTCTTGTATTCAGTATAGAAATAATGCTATATACATTTTGAAATTTTTAATCTATAAAAGATTGGAATAGTTAGATCAAGTAATCAACAAAATGCTAGCATAGGAAAACAGGAATGTAATAGGTCTTCTGATTTATTTTTTAACTAAAGATAGCCCCCTCCATGACATATACTTCACTCAGAGACACGGAGAATAAATGTTTTGAAAAAGTTCCCAGATAATTTGACTCTTTCCTACATTAAGAATCACTAATTTGATTCAAATGATGTAGTTTGTAACAAGAAAGCAGGCCCAGTTAATACCGTGCTAGTCAGACACTACATCTTAAGTCCATTCCCAGTGCTTTTCTGTAAGACTACAAGGTATCTGTCAGTAGGTTAAATGTTTTAAAATATATTATCCTCTGTCTTAAAAATTGAAGTGCAGGGCCGGGGATTTAGCTCAGTGGTTCGGTGGCCTGCCTTGCAAGCGCAAGGACCCGAGTTCAATCCCCGGTACAAAAAAAAAAAAAAATAGAAGTGCAGTTTTTCCTGGATATGTACCTGTTAAAGTCCATTAATGATTAATTTGTTTTCAGTATCTTCATTGAGCAGAAGAATGACTTCTCAATTTATAATTATACTCAGTTAAAATTTGGGTGCATATAATGCACTGCTTTGGCCCATATAAGTGATGAGTCTCAAGTATAACCACACTAATTTCCAAAGTACTAGATATTTTAAAACTTGTATCTTTTAATAAAAAAGAGAATTTTTAAAGCATATTGTCTACTTGAAAATGAAGTATTCATGAAAGTGGCTGGCCAGAATTGACTTAAACTCAAAATGGCCACTGGTATACATGATTTTTCTTTAAATAGGCTAAAGAGCCTACAGTACAAATTACACAGTCAGTGGTATTAGTGGAAGTTATGGCTAAATGTTTATTAGAAATGAAATTAGTAATTTGAGTTTTATTTTCCCCAGTTGGTTACATCCTTGGCCTTGGAGATAGACATGTACAGAACATCTTGATAAATGAACAGTCAGCAGAACTTGTTCATATCGATTTAGGTAAGTAATAAAATATTTATTTTTAATAAATATTCAATGTATATTGTTTGCCCACCAAGATATTATAGATATGAGAGAGATATGTCAGAGATAAATTATATAGACACATTTTATTTATTTATATATGTGGGGGGCTTGGTTTTTTACTGGGGATTGGACTCGGACCTTATGCTTGACAGACAGGCGGTGGAACCACTGAAGTAAATCCCCAGCCCTGTGTTTTTTTTTTTTAATTAATTTTATTAGTACATTTTAGGTGTACAATATAATGACATTCATCATTGGAAATTTACACCTTTACTTAATCTGTCTTGATTCTTATTTTTTTCCTCATTCCCTTTCCCTCCCTTCAACCCCTCGATCCCTCCCTATTTGCAAATACTTTGTTTCCATTTTTTCATTTTCTCACATTAATTCCATTCCCTTTCTTTTCTGCAACCCCTCCCACTTCCCCTTTTCCTTTGTCCCTTTTCTTCCTATTTCACATGATCTGTTATACATTCTGTTCCTTATTTATACTTTCAGTTTCTCACACCAGACAAAATGTTTGGTATTTACATGTGTGTCCTATTTATTTCCCCTAACAGTATCACCTCAAAGTGCATCCATTTAGCTATGAATATCTCAACTTTCTCATTTTTTATGGCTGAGTAGTGCTCCATTTTATTTTTTAAAACCATGTCTTTATCCAGTCTCCACTTGATGGGCAGTTGGGCTGCTTCCATGTTTAAGCTATTACACACTGTCCTGCTCTTTTTCTAGAAGCTTGAAGTTCAGCATCAAGTTATTTAATTGAGCTCACTATTTTCCTAATATGCGTATTCACTGCTATGAATTTCCCTTGTAAGACTGCTTTCATTGTATCCCATAGATTCTGATATGTTGTATTGTCACTGTCATTTAATTATAGAAACTGATTCTTTCTTTAACTTCACCTGTGACCTATTTGTTATTCAAAAGTGTTGTTCAATTTCCATGTATTTATGAAATTTTTGCGGTTTTGCTGTTGATCTCCAATTTCATTGCACTGTGGTCTGATGATATGCAGAGGATAACTTTAATTCCTTTGCAGTTATTTAATTATGGGAGAGTATGTGGTCTATTTTGGAGAATGACCCATGTGCGGCTGAAAAGAATGTGTATTCTGACTTTGTGGGGTGCAACACTCTAAACATTTGTTAAGTTCATTTGTTCAAGAGTTTGATTGGGTTCTAGAATTTCATTGTTTATTTTCTGTCTAGTTGATCTATGTATTTGTGACAGTGGGATATTAAGGTCCCCCACTACTATTGTATTGTTGCTTATTTGATTTTTCATGTCTGTTAGAATTTGTTTTATATAGTTGAGCACACTAGTGTTTGGTGCATATACATTTATGATTGTTATCTCTTCCTCTTGGATTGTTCCCTTTACAAGGAATGTAGTATCCTTGTCTCTTAATCAGTGTTGGTTTGAAATCCACTTGATCTGCAAAGAGGATAGCTACTCCTGCTTTTTTGGGGGGATTCCTTTTGTAGGCAGTATTTTTCCACCCTTTAACTTTGTCTATGAGTTTCTTTTTGAATTGTGTTTCTTGTATCTGGCATATTGTTGAATCTTGCTTCTTGACCCATTCTGCCAGTCTATATCTTTTGATTGGTGAATTGAGACCATTAACATTGATGGTTATAAATGATATGTATTGACTTATCCTTGTCATGACCTTTTCATGTTGTTGGATTCTCCTCCTTTGCATTTAATTTCTTGATGTGCCTGATGGAATCATTCTGCTGGGCTTTGTTGGGTTATGCTCTTCATTGTCTTTTCCTAGGATATTGTTTAAAATTTTTTGGAGTGCTGGTTTGGTATTCATCAATTTCCTGAAGTGCTGTTTGTCATGAAAGTATCTTATTTCTCCATCAATTTTGAAGATAGTATTGCAGGGTACATTAATCTGGGTTGGAGGCTGTTTTCCTTTAGGGATTGAAATACCTCACTCTTCTTGCCTTGAGGGTTTGGATTGGGAAGTCTGCTGTGATTCTGATGGGCTTTCCTTTGTATGTGATTTGTTTCTTTTCTCTAACTGCTTATAGAATTTTGTTCTTCTGTTGGGTTTCTGGTATTGTAACCATTATATGCCTATGTAGATTGTTCTTTTTATCACAGGTAGAGTCCTATATGCCTCACTTATCTGTATGTCAAGTAAGTTCTTTTTTCCTACTTGGCAACTTTTCTGACATATCTTCTGTGAATAGTTTTGTTTGGTACTAGGGATCGAACTCAGGACCTTACACTTGGTGAGGCAGGTGACAGCACCACTGAGCTGAATCCCTGGTCCCTGTGCACTGTTTGTGTCATCTGCACTCTCTCCTGTTTCTTCATTGACTCTGATTAGTCTTATGTTCTTCTTCTTTGCATCCTCTAGCAGCTGCTGGATTGATTTCTCATGGTTACTTACTATTTCTAAGAAATTTTTCTTTTCCTGGTCACTAATTGCAATCCTGTCTTCTATATCTGAAATTCTGTCCTCACTTTGGCCCATTCTGCTTTGTAAACTTTCAGTGGAGTTTTTAATCTCCTGGAAATCTATTTGCATCTGTTTTGTGGATTCCCTTTGTTTCCTATTTTGGGATTCCATCATGTTCCTCAGTGCCTCGGTTTTTTTTTTAAATCTCTGTCCATTCTAGATTTATTAGTCATGTCGTGCACTTTGTGCACAGACTCTGCTGTTATCTGAGAAATTTTTTCTAATTTCACTTTTTCCAGATCCTCTTTTGTTGCCACTTCAGGGAGTCCAGGTGGTTGAGTATCAGATTATTCCATCTTGTTTCCTTTTGGTGTTGCCTTAGGTGATCTGGAAGTCTAGTTTTAAGACTTGTTTACATGTCTTCTCATTTCACCCAATGCAGTCTGCTGTGCCTTTGTTGAGGCAACTTTTTGCTACCCAGTGGTCTTCAATTCTCACCAAGCCACAGAGCAGCCTTTTCTGTGCTGCTCACCAGAACACCACTTCGTGGGTTCAGAGTGGTGGCCTTCTGGATTCCTGAGCTGACCTGTTGTCTGGGATGGTATCTAGGTGTGCACATTTGGGATGGTATCTAGGTGTGCCCCTGGCTAGGGCCCCTATGTAGCTTTGTCTGGGAGGGCCTTTGGCTGGGGGCTGTGCACCCGTCCGTGGTGTCTGAGCAGCCCTCTGGCTAGGGCCTTGGTGCACGTAACAATGTTATCAATGTTATTGGGGCAAGCCTCTGGTTGTTGCAAGCCCCTCTTTGATGACAAAATTATAAAAATGCAGAACAGATTACTGGGATGGTAGTTGGGGGTGATAGGCCAAGGGAAGAAAGTAGGTATGGCTGTAAAAGGACACTATGAGGGATCCTTGGGATGGAAATGTTATATGTGGCTACATCTATGTTAGTGTCCTGGCTGTGATATTGTACTATAGCTTTTCAAGATATTACCACTGAGAGAACCTTAGGAAAAGGTATTTAAAATAGTCTTTTCTAAGGGCCGGGGATTTAGCTCATTAAAATAGTCTTTTCTAAGGGCCAGGGATTTAGTGGTTCTGCTGCCTGCCTCTCAAGTACAAGGACACAAGTTCAATCCCCAGTACCCCAAAAAAACAAAAAATAGTCTTTTCTATATTATTTCTTATAACTACATATATCTATAATTATTTCAAAACTACAATTTTTTAAATATTTAAAAATGTACATATATAGGAAAAGGTTTTTAAAATAATCTTTTCTATATTGTAACTACATATATCTATAATTATTTCAAAACTACAATTTTTTAAATATTTAAAAATATACATATATAGGAAAAGGTTTTTAAAATAATCTTTTCTATATTGTAACTACATATATCTATAATTATTTCAAAACTAAAAATTTAAAAATATACATATATGTGTCATGTCATCTACATCTCAAATTCTACCAGATATTCAAAATGTTTTTTGGGTGGGGGGACCAGGGATTGCAGTAGGGGACATTCCATTTGCGAGGCAGGCGGTGAGCTAAATCCCCAGCCTCCTCAAAATAACTTTTAATCTAACTTCTTGATTATGTTAAGAAGTTACAGTTTTGTATTTGAGCTGAATCTACTGTGTGTTCTAGTCCCAATACAGTAAAGGTGACAGATTATTGCCTTTGCAGTAGTTTACATGGCAGTTAGGAAGAAAGTTAGCTGTCAAATCTATACCTCACTGTATTTTTGTTTTAGGGGTTGCTTTTGAACAGGGTAAAATCCTTCCTACGCCTGAAACAGTTCCTTTTAGACTCACCAGGGATATCGTGGATGGTATGGGCATCACTGGTGTTGAAGGTGTCTTCAGAAGGTAAGTGAGAAAAGATAAAGGAGGACAGATAGTTGTTGGTGTCAAAATCATTTGAGTGTAGATTTATATAGGTAATAGAAATCAGTGATGGAATTATATCCCAATACTTTATAGTACTTGAAAAAGACCCTGATTATAGGTAAAGATATGTTGAAAATTTCAGTGTGCAACAAAATCTATATTTAGAGTAATCATAAATAATTATTTGATTTTTTAGATGCTGTGAGAAAACCATGGAAGTTATGAGAAATTCTCAGGAAACTCTGTTAACCATTGTAGAGGTAAAGTATGTTATCAGGAAATCTTTATTTCTCTACCAGATAGACACTGGTTCTGCAGTAAGAATAAATGATAATATAGATGCCTTAATAATGTGTAAATTAAAGTTTAAAATTATATTATCGTGTCCCTTTGCATTTAAAACAGAAAGTCTAAACTTTTACAATTTAAGAACCAAAGCAGTATAACATATTCCCCGGAATTTTATGCTACTTAGTTTCAGTAAGAATTTTTTATGGCCGGGCGTGGTGGCGCATGCCTGTAATCCCAGCACTCTGGAAGCTGAGGCAGGAGGATCGCTGTGATTTCAAGACCAACCTGCGCTACACAGTGAGTTCCAGGGCAGCCTGAACTACATAGTGAGACCCTGTCTCAAAAAACCAAAAAAAAAAAAAAAAAAAAAAAGAA